AGGTGAGAGGCTGTGCAGGCCCCCGGCAGGGCGGCGGTTCTTTCCGAGCCAAGGCCTGAGCGCTGACGTCCGTCCTTGGCAGCTGGGGACAAGGGTGTGGACGGAGGAAGCAGGGGCACTGCCCTGGGGCGGGGGAGCCGAGGCCGCCTCCCACGGCACACACGGGCAGCCAGGTGTCTTGGGGAAGGCAGGGCCCGGGCACGTCGGGCAGCCTGGCTCCAGTGCGGGAGTGTCACCAGGGGCCGGTGTCCAGCCAGTGAGCGTCTAGTGCGTCTCCTGGAAGTGAGGGAAGGCAGTCCTGTAGCACCCACGGGAGGGCCCCTGGGGCTGGTGGGCCTGGAGGCTGGAGGGGCTGCAGGGCGGGGAAGGCCCTCTCCTCCCGAGGCCACATCCCTACTGAGTGATGCAGCACCTCCCCTCCCGCGGGGCCCTGCCGAGGTTTTCCAGAAACAGCCACAGCCTGGGGAGGACGGAGCCTGCTTCACTGCAGTGTACCCATGGGTGGGTGGGGGGGGTCCGGGGCCTACCAGGGGCGTTCCTAGGGGCTAGCGCCCTGGGCCCGAGTGCCCCCACCCCGCCCCTTGCATCCGAGTTTGTCACATAGGAGGGTTTTGTCTGAGCAGCCAGAGATGCTTAACCGAGTGCATGACTCCCAGCCTTTCCCAGGGCGTTCTGGCTGCAGCCTTGGGAGGCAGGCCTGCCCAGACGGGGCGGGGGGCCCAGGCTCCGGAGAGGGCAGACCTGGAGAAGGCCGGGCTTCCCTGGGCCGCATGGGCTTCTCACCTGTGTTGCTCAGCACTGCAGGTGTGCCCTGCCGGTGGGCCGGTGAGAACGCGAGCACCTTATCTGTGTGTGGCTCTCACTTTATTCAAACTCAAGGTGAGCTATTTGAAATGACTGTTCCCGGGTTTCAGACTCGAAGGGAAGATCTAAAGCTCAGAACCCCTTAGAATACAGTCCATGAGGGTGGGAGGGACAACCAGTCCCACCCGGCAGTCGGCGTGGGCGCCACTGGTGGGGTCGGAGCTGCCGTCTGCCCCCAGCCTGCCCTCCCCCTGCCACGGGCTCCCCAGTGCGCCGTGCCGGAGGCGCCATGAGGCCCAGTCGCCAGCACTGGGAAGCTGGCGCTCTGGCTGTGTAGGAAACGACTGTTTCACACACTTGGCGAGAGCCGACCGAGCACAAAAGATTCGCAAAGGGCACGAGGCCCAGCAGCTGCCATGGGGAGCGAGTGCCGCCTCCCCTGCGTCCCCCACAACGCGTCCCATCCAGCCGCGGCGCCTCAGGCGTAGAAGATGAGCTCAGGGATCTGCCCACCCTGGACGCCGGTGCCGTTGGTGCTGTCCGAGGAGCACTGGAACTGGAAGGTCACCTTCCCGCACTGCACCTCCGTCATACCCTCCTGCCCGAAGTAGCTGAGCTCGCTGCCGTCCAGCACGGCGCTGGCCGTGTAGAAGGTGTCCTGCTCCACCTGCACTGGGTGCTCGAACCAGACCGAGAAGGTGCTGCTGGAGCCGTCGGAGACGAACCTGGTCAGGTTCTGGGCGAGCACCACCCCGAGCCGCTTGAGCTCAATCCTCACGCTGTACTCGGCCTTCCCGGAGCTGGACCCGTACAGGCCCAGCCCCGCGACAAACACCCTCCTGTCGGCGGCAAACTGGATGCTGTCGCAGCGCCCGCGGTAGCGCCACTGGTTGCTGCGGTAGGCGGAGGACTGGAAGCGGTGGCACCTCTGCGGGGCCAGGCCCTTCCTCTTGGTCAGGGGGAAGTCCAGCGGGGGCTTGTTGGCCGCCGTGTACCACAGGAAGATGTTGTGGGTCTCCTCCAGGGTCAGGATGTCCGACTGGGCGGCGCCGTTGGCAAACTCCTCCAGGGTCATGGTCGGGATCCGGACCAGGTAGAGGACCGGCCCCAGGACGTTCCTCTTGTTGCGCGGGGTGACCGGCAGGCCCTGCCTCCGGCACTCGGCCTCGGCCCAGCTCAGCACGGCCTCGAAGACCACCGCCTCCTTGGTGTTGAGGGCCTCCCGGGCAACGACGATCTCCAGGGTCTGCCAGTCGATCTCACAGAAGCCCTCGGACCTCAGGGCCATCTCCGCCTGCGCGTCGATGACCTCCCAGCAGCGCTGGGTCAGCTCGGGCTCCTCGAACAGCCGGCTCTGGGACAGCAGGACACAGGCGTTTTTGGCTTCCAGGCTCGTCTCCAGAAAGTGGACACAGGCTTTTGCTAACGCGGGGACGATGTACTTCTTGGCAGCGTAGAGAGTGGCCAGCACCGTGTCTGCTTCCAGGTCAATCTCATCACTGTACATGTACCTGGCAGGGCGGGGACTGCGTCACCAGCCGCATGCCCCCCCCTGCCCCCAGCACCCAGCACCTGGGAGACAAGCCCCCAAATCCTTGTGGGCTTCCCCTGCAGCGCGGTGGCCGCAGGGCAGCGGACGGGGAAGAACCTCCCATCCTTGCAGGCGAAGGAGCCCACTCACTTCAACATGATCAGGAAGGCCGCGGGCTCCACGTCCGGAATGTGGATTTCCGACTTGACTTCTGCCAGGTCCCCATAGAACATGGCGTAGAAGACTGAGCTGCCCACGGCCAGGACGTACTGTGGAGAGAGAGCGCCCTGTCCTGAGCCCTGGACCCCCTGCCCAGCAATGCCACACCCTGGGTGGAAGGCAGTCTGTTCCTAGTAAGAAAATGCCTGTCGCCTTTGGGAGCTCAAAGGGCCAAGCTTCTACCAACCTTGTGGGCAGGCACTCTCCGGGCCCCGCCCGGGGGGCCCACAATGAAGTGGACGTCGGCCATGAGCTCGTTGTTGAACATCAGCGCGTTCCTGTAAAGGGGAAAGGCAGGAGGCGCAGGGCTGGAACGGCGCAGGGCTCCGCCCGCGCTCACGCTCAGAGGAGGGGGCGCTGAAAGACTGGCTCGGGGCCCCAGGGCCTGGACGGGCGGGGCGGGGCGGGTGCGCAGGCTCCAGGCCGGGCGCGGCCCGGACTCACCTCTCGCGCAGGGTCGGGTGGAAGGACTGCCAGTTGGGGCTCTCCAAGTTGTTGTTGTCGGGCGCGGGAGGTGAGGGCGCAGGCGGGGGCGCGGCCGGCGGCGGAGCACTGGGCAGGCCCTTCCTGCCCACGGTGGCGGCGTTGCTGTTGGCGATGTCCGTGGCGGTGGCGGCTGTGGCGCCTGCGGGCGCGTACAGTTCCGCGGCCATCTTCACCGGCAGGGTAGCCTCCGCACGCGGGGGCGGTGCGCCGTGCGCCCTCCCGCCGCGCCCGGGCCTCGGGGGCGGCTCTGCGAGCACCAAGAGCGCGGTGAGACACTGCGTCACCCGACCGTGCAGACAGGCCAGGGGCAGCAGCATGGGGCCACAGCGGGCGCTGCTTCCTCGCCCGGGCGCCCGCTGCCCGGCCGCAGGGGGCGCCGTCCACCTGCGCGTCACTTTGCGTCACGGTGCCGGCCCGCCCCCGCCGCCTGCGCGGAGGACGTACTTCCCGCGGCCCCGCCCCGCGCGCCAACGAGCGCGCCTCCAGCCCGGCTTCTGGAGCAGGCAAGCGCGGACCTGCGCGGTGCTGGGAGTCCGGTGCTGGGAGTCCGGCAGTGCGGAGTCTGGCAGGGGCGCTGTGGCGGGAGGCCAGGGCCGGGACGGGACGCGGTGTGGTTGGCCCAGCGACTGCCCTAAGTCCGCGGACGGGCGATGCAGCTACCCACGCTTCTCCGATAGCCAGTGGGTCCGTACCTGGCTGTGGGTCCGCCTGCGGTCTCGTGTCTGCCTTGGAGAAGTGACTCTTCACGCCCTGGGCCTTTTCTTCCTCCCTTTTTTAGAGGAGGGAGGGAGAGAGACGTGGTGGATCCGTTGCCTCCCGCCCATACCCTGAAAGGGCTTGGAAGCCCTGACCCAGAGCGGACCGGCAATCTTTTGGTGTATGCGCAGACCCTCCAAACAGCGAGCCACATGTCCAAGGGCCCTTTTATTTGTTTTTCAATTTTTTATTTATTGATTTTAGGGGGGAGAGCGAGAGAAACATCGATTTCTTGTTCCATTTATTTACGCACTTGTTTGTTGATTCTTGTATGTGTCCTGACTGGGGATCAAACCTGCAACCGGCATCTGGGGACTATGCTCCAACCAACTGAGCTGACCCGCCTGAACTGTCTTTTTTTTCTTTCTTTTTTTTTCTCTTTTTTTAAGATTTTACTTATAGGGAGAGGGGAAGGAAGGGAGAAAGAGAGGGAGAGAAACATCAGTGTGCCTCTTGCGCGCCCCCTGCTGGGGGCCTGGCCTGCAACCCAGACACGTGTCCTCACTGACTGGGAATCGAACTGGTGACCTGCAGGTTTGTAGGCGGGCACTCAGTCCACTGAGCCACACCAGCGATGGCTGCCCGTGTTTTCTAATCGGGTGTCTGTTGTTCAGGAGTCACGGGAGTTCTCTGTGTATGGGATGCCAGTCCCTTCTCAGACACGTGATTTGAAAATACTTTTCTTTCGTTTCCTTGGTGCCTTTTCATGCTGATTGTCTCCTTTGCTGCACAGAAGTTTTTGAGTTGATGTTGTCACGTGTCTGCGTTTTTGCCTGCTCTCGGTCCTTTTGGTGTCTCATCCAAGACATCGTCGCCCATTCGGATGCCCCGAGCTCCCCCCAGGTCTTCTTCTGGTTTTGGGGGCTCCACATCTTACAGTTAGCTCTCTAATCTGCTTTGAGTTTTATTGTAGTTTTCTATTTTAGAGAGAGAGGAAGACAGAAACATCAATTTGTTGTTCCACTTATTGATGCATTTATTGGTTGATGCTTGTATGTGCTGTGACTGGGGATCGAACCTGCAACCTTGGCATCTGAGGATGATGCTCCAACCAACTGAGCTGCCTGGCCAGGGTTGAGTTGGTTGTTGCATGTGATGTAAAATAAGGGTTCAGATTTCCAACACCATTTTGTTTTGTTTTGTTTTGTTTTGAGAGGGGGGAAGGGAGGGAGAGAAACATCAATATGTGGTTGCCTCTCACACGCCCCCCACTGGGGACCTGGCCCACAACCCAGGCACGTGCCCTGACTGGGACTCGAACTGGTGACCCTTTGGTTCTCAGGCCTGGGCTCAGTCTGCTGAGCACGTGCGGGGCTGTGTCTGGGCTTGCTCCTGCCCCAGCCGTGTGTGCGTCTCCGTGCCTGCACCGCGGTGCGCCTGGCGTGCTCTTTTTGAACTTGTTTCCGAGTGGTGGGGATTTACTGTTTTTGGTTATTACTCCTTTTGTCTGCTTCAAATGCTTTATCTTGTTAGCTTTCAATTTTTTACTTAGTATTTAGCTCATTATTTCTTTCTTAATAGAGCATTTAAGTCTAAGCTTGCTCTCTAATTTCCTAATACTTTGCTTGGACGTGAGAGAAGTGTTTTATCTTTTTCTGGCTAATATTTCGTGTTCTTTACTTTTTTTAATCCGCACCCAAGGGTATGTTTGTTGATTTTTGACGGAGCGAGAAGCATTGACTGGTTGCCTGCTCTGTGTGCCCTGACGGGGGGTCGGACCAGCAGCCTTTCCTGGTGTGCAGGACAGTGCTCCGACCGACCGGGCCCCGGCGGGGGCATGCAGTGCTCTCGCGCTTGCGGTCAGAGGGCATGTCCTGTGAGAGTTGTGTTCTCCGGCTGATGGGGCGTTTCTTTGTTCTCCCGCACACGGTCCGTTTTGAGAGCTGCCCCACGGGCTTGGCAGAGGCGTGATTGCTGTCTGTGGGGTACTGGGTTTGCAACACTCAGATCATATGTGTTTCAAACTGGTTAGTGTCGGGAGTGCCACCGGGCCCACTGGGGCACCCAGGGACCCGTGCTGCGTCAGGGGCTGCACCGATCTCTGTGGCCTCAGACTGTCCCTGGGTTTCCTGTGAGCCAAGGCTGCCAGGTTCCAGGTGGCGGTGCTTGCAGTGTCTTGGGGCCCCCGGGGCCAGAGCTCAGTCTCGGAGGCCCTCATGGAGGAGGGTGCCTGGTGTGCCCACCAGCCAGGGTGTGTCTCACCACTTCTTGCTGTGGTTGGGGGGCGTAAGGAGCTTGCCGACCCCTTCCGTGCCTCCCAAGGCCCCCAGCTGCCCCCGCTCCTTCCTCCGCCCTCAGCCCCAGTGGCTCCCTCTGGTGAGGCTTCGCTGGGCGGTCCTGTCCGGAGGTCTCGCCCCCGTGTGCCGCGTCTCCCCCCGCCCGCCGCTGCCTCCGTCAGCCTTGTCCTGTGAGTGACTTGGTGCTGCTGCCCTGGAGGCTGGCGGCCCCGGAAAGCCGCGTCCCCAGCCTGCGCCAGCCCTGGGCCTGTGTCCGCACGGGCACCCGTGTGCCCGGGGCCCCTAGTAACGAGCAGAGACTCAGATGAAGAGACGCAACACACACCCGTAGACAAGGGGGCGGAAGACGGAAGCCGACATTCCACAGGAGTGAGTGTCAGCCAATAAGTATGTTAACAGTCAGCTCGACCTCCCCCGCCGGCCACGGAGTGCCCGAATGGAGCAGCAGCTGCCCGGCCATGGGAGGGGGCGGGCGGTGAGGGCCCCACCTGCGGGTCAGGGAGCCTGCATGTCCCTGGGGAGCCTGCGTGGTGGAAGGACTGGCGAGGGTGGCCCTGCCGGGGGCGCAGGGGCTCGGGGGCGCCGCCGCCCTGTCTGAACCGCGTGTCTGCCGCAGACCCGTGCCTGTACATCCCGCGCTTCGCCCACCTGCTGGAGTTCGGCGAGAAGAACCACGAAGTGTCCATGACGGCCCTGAGGCTCCTGCAGAGGATGAAGAGGGACTGGATGCACACGGGCCGGCGCCCCTCGGGCCTCTGCGGGGCAGGTGAGGGGCCTTGGAGTCAGACTGCCAGGCCCACTGGCCTCTGGGTGGTGGGTGCTGGGTTGTCTCCAGAGCTGCCTCTCAGCCTCCCTTGCCCTCAGGGACCTCAGCCTGCTCCCAGCTGCCCTCCACTGGCCCAGAGGAGGGTGAGAGCCATTGACCTGAGGGGACTGCCAGGCTCCCTTGTCTGGACCTGGGGCTTGACTGCTGGGGTCCCAGCCTCTTGGGCCGGCTCCTGGCCCGGGGCCGCTGTCCGGTGTGTCCTCCAGTGGCGGCCGCCTGCAGATGCCGTTGGGGCCGTCAGGGCCGTCAGGGCCCTGGACCGGCGGCCCACCCAGGGCCCCCAGGCTGCCGGGGCCCTTGTCCTCCCTCCTGGCCCTGGGCCCAGCGTCTGCAGGTCCGCTCCTTCCTGGACGCCAAGGGCCGTGTTCTCACGACCGTCTGCCCGCAGGCTCCGCGCTGCCTGAGGTTCATTGTCCACCCCACGGTGGTCGCCGCGCCCAGCACGCGGCCGCTCCCTCTGCCCCTCAGAGTCCTCGGCCCCATCGCTGGCCAGCATCTCCTGCACAGGCACCGAGGTCGGCAGGTCCCCCCTGGGGGCTCCGTGAAGTTCTCGGGAAACACACTCTAACTCCTGTTTAGAACCACGGAGGGTGTGACGCAGCGTGTTGCACACTTGGTGCATCTTGGCAGTTGCAGGCAGAGCCGTGCGGGGCCTCGGCCCCCTGGTGACCGCCCGGGCCGTGTGGCCACCGCTGACCAGGCGGAGGACGCCCCGAGTGCAGGGTCGGCCCCGACGCTGGCTCCCGGTGCGTGGCGCGAGCCGCTGCTCACCCCCCTCCTCCCTCCAGCGCTTCTGGTGGCAGCCAGGATGCACGACTTCCGGAGGACCATCAAGGAGGTCATCGGCGTGGTCAAGGTGTGCGAGTCCACGCTGCGTAAGAGGTGAGCGGCCTCTTCGGGGGCAGTGCTGCGCTCCCCGCCAGGCTCGGCCAGGCCTGGGGTCCTGGAGGTGGGGCCCTCCGTGGTCCTGGCGCCACCCCCCCCCCGCCCCTGCCCCCCCGTCCTGCAGAGGTCTATCTCGGGGCCACCCCCCACTTCTGGCAGACTGTTCTCTCTAAGGTGAGTTCAAGTGGGTGGCGGTGTGTGCACCTTGCAGCTCAAAAGGGTCGGGAAGCAGGCACTGAAGGCAGCCTTGCCTGTGTCCTGCTGGTGTGGCCCGGGTGACGGTCAGCTGGAAGCTGGGCTCAAGCACGGCCACCACGTCTGTGTGCGCGAGCGGCCTAGCAAGGTGCTGCTGTGGGCCCGGGGGTCTCGGCCGCTGTGGGACCTGTCCACCCACTGCCCACCCCCCACCCACTGCCACAGGCCCTCCTCAAGAGGCAGACGGAGCCTCGCATGACTCAGGTTCACGTTCTAAACTCTCGTTCAGCACTTTGATGCGTGCGTGGCCTGGGAGAAACTGACAGGGGAGTTGAAAATTGGCCTCCAGTTGGGCATGTGGCTGCGGGCCGGACTCCTCTCTCCCAGGGCCTTTCCGATCCCCCCTGGGAGCCGGGAGGGTGCGTGGCCTTCTCTGCCGGGTCAGCTTTGAGCCTCGGCAGGACTGAGGAGGGGCGGGGGCCTGTGCTCCCCCGGAGCGGCCAGGCACTGGGCCAGGGACCCCAGACCACCTGGGGCTGCTCGCAAACTGGGGCTGGTGTAAGTAGCTCTTCAGGGGCGTCGGGTCCCTTTCCCGTCTCTGTTCCAGGCTCACAGAATTTGAAGACACGCCCACCAGCCAGCTGACCGTGGACGAGTTCATGAAGATCGACCTGGAGGAGGAGTGTGACCCCCCGTCGTACACGGCTGGCCAGCGCAAGCTGCGGATGAAGCAGGTGAGCCCCCAGACTCACACCAGCCGCCTGGCCCTGCCATCAGCACTGGAGGCCCTCGCCGCGTCCTGCAGGCTGACGCCGCACATCCATGTGGCAGAGCGGCAGGTCTGCGTGCAGACGTGCGTGTGGGGAGAAGCGGGCACGTGGAGGTGCCGGTGTGGGGTGCTCCGGGCTTCTTCCCAGCCTGTCCCTCGGGGCGTCTGGTGTGGGGCCTGGGGGAGCGCTGCCTCTCCAGGGCCCAGTCCTCGAGTCGGGACCCCAGGCCGGCGCCGCCCCACCGCTCCCGGCCCCTGAAACCGCTGCACTCCGCCTCCGATCAGCACCCGTGACACACGGTCCCGGCAGGGCCGGCATCGGGGCCCCGCGTCCACGCCGGGCCCACAGGGGAGGGGCCTGGCAGCGTCCGGCGGGCACTCGGGCCCCTCCTGTCGCTGAGTGCTCTCGCCCTCTCTGTTGCAGCTCGAGCAGGTGCTGTCGAAGAAGCTGGAGGAAGTCGAAGGTAACCAGCTGCCCTGCCCCATGGGGGCCGTGGGCTCCTCAGCAGAGGGGTTTCGTGTTCACTTTCCACACGTAACTTGCCGCTTCAGGGGAGATATCCAGCTACCAGGACGCGATTGAGACCGAACTCGAGAACAGCCGGCCGAAGGCCAAGGGGGCCCTGGCCAGCCTGGCCAGGGACGGTGAGTCCATCCCCATCCGCATCCCCATCCCCAGCGGCCTGGGCCCCGCCTGCACCCTGTCCACGGCCACACGGGCCTCTCGTCGCCAGGCGGCCCCTTGCCCCGTCCAGGGCCGCTCGGGGCCGCTCCCCAGCACCCACGCCCACCTGTCTCCCATCCCGGTTGCCCTGGACTGAGGCTCTTCCCTCCGCCTCTTGTCCTCGGACACAGGCCAGCCCTGCCCGCCTCCCAAGGGGAGGAGCTCAGCCCTGGACACGCAGCCGCCGGCCACCCCAAGCCCCTTTCCACAGTTGCCCCTCAGGGTCCATCTGGTCCAGCCCTGTCCCATGAGGCCCAGGCCCCGGAGCAGGTGCCGAAGGACGCTTGCGCCATCCGGACACTCAGTCTGGGTGGCCGCCGCCCCCGGGCTCCTCTCCAGGTTCTGGCAGCCACGCTGGCATGTGTTTTCCGTGACCTTCAGTCACGTGTCCCCACGGCCACCCCACACTCTGCGTGCCCCCTGCCGCCCAGCTGGAGGAGGCCAGTGCTGCCCCCGTGGTCCCCGTGGTCCCGGTGTCTGAGCCCGCCCTGTGCTGGGGAGCGCCGTCTCTCCCATCCCTGCCGTGGCTGCCATCTGTGCCGGCACCGCCCTGTGCGCCCGGCCCCTGTGCTTGCTCCTCGTCCCGCTTTCCGGCACAGACAGTCCCGTCCCTGTCTCGGGCGTGCCCGCGCTCAGCAGCTGGAATGCGGGTTTCTCCCGCGGCCCCATCCCCCGTGCGGTCTTGCGGGTCACAGCCCACCCTCCGCAGGTCACCGTGGCTGTCGCCTCTGCCCCCCACCACCTCGTGTCTGTGAAATGCCCACCTCTGACCCCTGCTGGTGCTGAGAGGACAGGGCAGCGACCCCCGCGATGGAGCTCAGCATGACGGCCCGGGTCAGGGCCGTGTTCCGAGCTCGGGAGCTGGGCTCTGGTGGGCCGAGGCCTCAGGTCTGCAGGGAAGGGCGGAGGTGGGGGGGCGGCGCTCTCTTCTCCGAGGGCTTCGACTGGTCTGTGCTCGGCTGGGACGCAGCCCCCGTCCCAAGTCGAGGCGCCCTGGGAGAGACGAGGGCCCCTTCCAGTGCTGCCGCGGCTCCGCTCAGGGGGTCAGCCCCTGGCTTCTGTTCCGCTGCGCCTGCTGTCGGCCCCCGGCCCCCGGCAGAGTCGGGGGCAGCAAGCACATTGTGGCCTCCCTGTGGGGCCTCGGTGCCGCCCGGGACCGCTGCGCAGGGCTCTGGGCCAAGATGCCGGGTTTCCCCGTGAAGGGCGTGCGCACCCTCGTGCCCGCGGCGCTTCCCGAGCCACCACTCGGTGGCCACACCGCCTGCAGGGCGCGCGGGCAGGGTGTCCCGGGTCGGGGCACGTCCCACCTCAGGCTGGGCCTGGGCGCGCTCACGCTGCCGTACCGTCCGTCTGGCCAGCGGCTCTTCCCATGCAGAATTGAACCGAGGTGCGTCTGAGAATGCCTGCCCCCCGTGTTCTCCCTCACGCTACGTAGTTTTGTTTCGGGGCCTTTTCTCGGCAGGTCGTGGGGTTCCTGTGCCTGCGGCTTCGCACAGACTTGCTGCTGCTGCTGCTGCCGCCTCGCCGCCCTGCGCCCTGCTTCTGCACAGCCGGTGGGCAGTGATGCACGCAGGGCAGGGTGCCGCCGGTGTGACGGCGGGTGCCGCCCGCCCCTCACAGCCGCAGCCGTGGTGGTTCGGCGCTCAGAGCCCAGTCGGGGCGTGCCACGCTCGGGAGGGTCTCTGCTTTGTCGCTGATTGCGTTTTCTGGGTTATGCCGGGCAGGGCTGAGGGCGCTGCCCCTGCTTCGCACTGTCCGTTGCCTGTCTGTGGCCAGCAGTCTTCGGAGACACCTCAGGGTGGGAAGGGCTCCCTGGCTGTGGCCTGGGCCCCCACGTCCGTGGGTGCCTGCCTGCTGACGCCTAGGGGCCCGACCCTCACCTCGCCTGTGGCCTCGGGAGGACGCTCCTGTGCCGGCTGTTCAGGGAGCCGACCCGTCCACCTCGGCCACTCTGGCCGCCTCGGCTCCGTGCAGTGGGAGGAGCCGTGGCCGGGGGCTTCCCCTGGGGGTTTCCCCTGGGGGTGTTCTCTGGCCTGGCCGGGGCTTCCTGGTGTTTCCTGGCAGCGCCTGTCCGGCCGTGACAAAACGGGCATGTGCCCCGCGCCCTCCCGGCCCGCCAGCCCCGCCCCCGCCTCGCTGCTCCACGAGGTCGGGGTGCGGGCTCTCCGTCCACCCCGCACTGGGTCTGAGCTCAGTGGAAGAGGACAGGTGTGGCTGCCCTAGGCGGTAGGCCTGCTCCTGGGGTCGTCCGCCTGCACCACGCCTGCAAGCCCGTGGGAGTCCCGGCGCCCGTGGGCTCGGCCTCCCTGTCGCCGTGTCCCCGCGACACGTGCGAGGAGGCGGGGGGCCCGGAGGAGCCGGCTGTGCGGCGGAGAGGGCCCTTGCACGGCAGGGGGTGTCGTGGGTGTGCCGGGCGGGAGCCGCAGGGTGTGTGCAGAAGGGGGTCGCCCACACGCCGCCTCACTGGGATGGAAGGCGTGTCCCCAGGGCACACTCATCCCGACGCCAACCCCGCAGTGACGCGCAGCGCCACCCGGGACTGGAGACCCCCCAGCACTGCGGACGGCGGCTGGGCCACGCGGCGGCTTTCTGTCCACTCCACGTGGGCGCGGCGGGCACGGGCGTGGGGGAGGCAGCGCCAGGGGGGTCGGGCGTGCGCTCACCCCCAGGACGTGTCCCACGGGTGTCCTCGGGCCGGCCAGCTGCGTCCCCGCCGGCTCCCACCCCTCTTCCCGGCGCCCCGCCCCGGAGACCCCCGCCCGCTGGCCGGCCTGTCCCGGCCGAGGACGTTGCGGCTGCTCCAGGCCAGGGCTGTCCCCCGAGTGCTGGGACGTTCTCGTGCGGCCTTGGGGGGCGCGGGGCAGAGGCCGGCGGACCAAGGGCAGGCGAGGGCTTGCCCGGGGAGCCCACCAGCTGCCGCCGTGGCCACTCTGTGGGGTGGGGGCTGCTGCTCTCTGGCCACCCGGTTTCGTCTGTGCTGGCCCCTGTTCAGATCTTTTGCCCACTCTTTACCAGGAGTGTGTTTCCTTTCAAGGTTCTGAGAGGTCGGCACATTTCGTAAATACAGGTCCTGTGTCAGGCGTGTGACCTGCGAGAAGTCTGCATTGTGTTTGTGGGTTCTGTTCTGTGTCACTTCCAAGAAGTTCGCACCCCATGCGAAGTCACGAATGTTTCTTGCGTTGCTTTCTGGGTGGTTTGCCCTTTGAGCTGCTGCGTTCACGTGTACGGCTGTCTCGTGCTAACTCCACGTCAGGCACGAGGCGTCGGCCGTGGTTGACGGCGGGCATCTTCTGTGACAAGGACCTCTGGTGGCTCTCCCCTCTCAGGACCCTGAATTAGTGGCGTGAACACCCTTTGTGGCTGGCGGGAGTGTCTCTGCACAGAGCGGACTCCCCTGGCCTCTGCAGCTGACAGCTGGTGTGGCGCTGTGCCCCCAGGCTCTGCCGAGGACTCTGCAGCTAGCTTGTTTGGCGAGGAGGACGCCGAGGACGAGGAGCTGGAGGCCGCCGCCAGCCACCTGAACAAGGACTTCTACCAGGAGCTACTTGGCGGCGATCCTGGGACCTCGGAGGCAGCAGGCAGCCCCAGCGGGAGCAGCAGGCCCCCCGCCCTGGAGTCCCTCCTGGGGCCCCTGCCCACGGCAGCCAGCCTGGGCATCTCGGACTCCATCCGAGAGTGCATCTCGCAGAGCGGGGAGCCCAGTGAGTACGGGGTGAGCGGCGGGCAGGGGACAGGCTCTGGGTTTGGGTCGGGCTAGGCCACCCCCCTGGTCTGTGGGAGGCGGAGGCAGCACTGCCAGCCCCCCTCCCTGACCCCCGGGTGCAGGGCTGCGGGAGCTGTCAGGCCCGGTGTGCACCGACCCCCGATGCCAGCAGGGTGCCCCTCCCCGCCCCCGCCTTGGGACCGCTACCCACTGGCCCAGGTCCTGGCTGGAGCCCTTGGGCGGGGTTGTGGCCACAGGCTCCTTCCTGCCCCGGGGGACCTGGGAGGTGCCTGTGCAGCAGCATCCCGCGCCTGTCAGCGGAGGAGTCACAGACGCACGTCACCAAGGGCCCACGGGGACAGAGACGGGCCTCCGGGCCCGTCCTCTGTGTTTCTCTGTGCCGGTGGGGGGTGTGGGCGGGCGGGCAGACGCTGCTCGCTGGGCCCTGTGGCCAGCAGGGGCAGCAGTTCCCACCACCGAACCGGCGTGGCCGTCTGCAGCTCTCCGAGGAGGGCGGCTTCGGCTCTGTCAGCTCACCTCTAACAGCCGGTCCCGGTCCTTTGCTGGGACGACCCCCCCAGGGGTCACCGCGTGGGCGGCTGCCCAAGGGGGCACGGCATTCAGGGAAGCTGTTCAGCGACTTAGCTGCGAGTCCTGTGCTGCGGCGGGTGGCGGTCCAGCGCGGGCGGGTCCCGGGAAGCGCAGGGCAGAGGGCACACGCTGCGGAGGAGGCGGCTCTGGGGCGGTGGGGGCACTGTGACCCTAGGGCAGAGAGAGGCCTTTCTCGCCGGAGCCGAGAGAACAGAGGGCGCGAGGGGCCCGCGGCAGGGCCTCGGCTGGGAGCCGCCCAGGCGGCCTGCTCCGGGTGGGCTGGCGCCGGCGGACTCGGCGGAGGACCTCGGGTGGCGAGGGGCAGCAGACAAGAGGGTCCACCGGCTTCCTTCGCCTGGAGGATGGTGCTGTCGACCCGGCTGGGCGGGAAGGGTGGCGGGCGGGCTCTGAGGACGGTCGGAGGGCCTCGGAGGCCCCCCGGCAGTTGAGCAGAGGCCTGGTGGACCGCCCTCTCGCGGTCTGCAGGCTGCTCAGGACAGCAGGCGCGCTGCAGGCGGGCTGGGCTCAGCAGCCCCACTTGGCGTCCTGCTCCCTTCGGGCAGCGCGGGGTCATCCGCCCACCCCCTGCTCCGGGAGAGCAGCGCCCGCCCCGCGAGCCCAGGTGGTGTGGGTGCGCGCTGACCAGAGGCCGCGCTTCCCTCCAGAGGACACGTCGGGGGACGGCGAGCTGGACCTCAGTGGCATCGACGACCTGGAGATCGACAGGGTGAGCGCGGAACCCGTGCCCTCGGGGAGCCCCCCGCGGCACAGACGTCAGTCCCGCCCCGCCAGTCACAGGGACCCTGACCGAGTGCCCCCGCGGCCTCAGACCCGCAGTCCCAGGGCGGAGGGTGCGCGGGCCTGCGGCAGGCAGGCAGGTGAGGCCCGCCCCTGCTCTCAGGACTTCGCCCCGGAGACGACCTGTCAGTCAGTGTCCGAGTCGGCCTCTGGGGCCCTCAGCCTCTCCCTTGTCGGGACCAGGGGCGGGGCTTGGGGGGCCCCCACGGGCTCCCAAGGACGGGCCATTAGCGTGGTGGCCGCACGCGCCCTCCCGGGTCGGGGCCCAGCCCTCAGCCAGGGGCCCGAGTGGGAGGCGGGCTGGCGGCTGAGGGTTCCGTGCGCTCTGCGCAGTACATCCTGGACGAGGCGGAGGCCCGCGTGAAGGCCGAGCTGTGGATGCGGGAGAACGCCGAGTACCTGCGGGAGCAGCGGGGTGAGTGCCCGGCCCCCGCCCAGGCCCCCCGGGCGCGAGGCCCTTGCTGACCTAGCGCTTGTCGGCCTTTCAGAGAAGGAAGCGCGGATCGCCAAGGAGAAGGAGCTGGGCGTGTACAAGGAACAGAAGGTAGGGGCCCACCAGCCCTTCGGCTTCAGGGCAGCCCCAGGCGGGCTGTGGGCGGGCACTGAGGGCCTGTCTGGCCGCCCACCCAGCTGGCGGTCACAGTGAGGGGCCGAGCTGCCCCTGTGTGGCTGGACGGTGCTGCCTGGCCAGGGAGCTCCCGGGGGGTGGGGCGCAGCCGAGCCTGTGGCCCAGCCAGAGCAGAGACGGGGCCTGGCCTGCAGCTGCCGGGAGGCTGCACTGCAGAGCTCTCCGGGCTCCTTGGGAGCCGGGGTCAGCATCCAGGCTGCAGCAGCCTGGCCGGGGTCATTGGCCCGTGATGGGGGCCCAGTGTGACGGCTGGTGGCCTGAAGAGGCAGCACAGGAGGCTCCTGCAAGTGATTTGCAGCTCGGCGCCAGGCGGTGGTCTGGGGCCCACACCTCCCTGCCGGCAGCACAGCCAGAGCGCAAGACACCTGGCCACTGTCTGCTGGGCCTGGTGGGGCAGGGCATAGCGGGCTGTGGGCACTTGGCCGCACCAGGTCAGGCTTCCCGCTGGTGGTGAGTGCTGCCTGGGGCCCTGCTCCCTGGACAGGGTGCAGTTGGGCAGCGTGGGCCACCCCCCGCCCCCCGCCCGAGGACAGGAGGAGGAGGAAGGGCTTGGCCTTAGGATCGCTGAGCGCTGTCCTCCCCTGGCGCCCTGGGCAGCAGCTCGGGGTGCAAGGGCACCGACCGTGGCCGCAGGGGGTGTGACTGGCGTGTCCCCTCCAGCCCAAGAAGTCCTGCAAGCGCAGGGAGCCGATCCAGGCCAGCACGGCAGGGGAGGCCATCGAGAAGATGCTGGAGCAGAAGAGGATCTCCAGCAAGATCAACTACAGCGTGCTCCGGGACCTGGACAGCAAGGGCGGGGGCGGCACGCAGAGGCCAGACTCACGGCCCGAGGCCAGGGCCAGCTCCAGGAAGCTGCCACGGAGGAAGAAGCCGGCCAGCAGGAGTGGGGCTGACCCCGTGACCAGCGTGGGGAAAAGGTGTCGTGCTGGGTGGGCAGGCTGGGGCAGGAGTCCGCATGCTGGGGACCACGACGGTGGTGCCCACTGCCCAGGACTCTGCATGCCAGGCCCAGCCCTCGCGGGGCCGGGGCCCAGCAGGTGCAGCGGGTCGTCGGAGCCCCGCCAGCGCCCCCAGCCGGGCCTGCAGGGAAGCAGCCGCAGGGCACACACACTGCTCGGTCCCCAGCCCTGGGGGGTGGGGTTCCTGGGCGTGCAGGGGAGCCTGCCTCCTCTCAGGTGGGGGTCCCAACTGTCCCCCTGGGGTGGGTCGGCAGCACTGAGGGGCTCTGGGGTGTTTCCCCCTCGGTCCTTGCAGGTGACAGTGGGGAAAGGCACCCTGGCTGAGCGTCTAGAGGAGGGAGAGCAGGCCCAGTGGAAGGGGTGCTGTTAGCACAAGTCAGGGTGCCCTGCTGTGGGCCAGGGGTGGGTGGAGGGGTGACCAGAGTTGTTTGGGAGGAGAGGGGCAGACAGGGCCCCAGAGTGCTGCTCCTCCCCTTACCCTATCCCCCTCCTGTGATTCCCTGCAGGTTGAGGCCATTGGTGTCTGCACAGCCAGCTAAGAAGGCAGCCCTGGGAGAGGTGCTTGTGTGGACGTGGGGGCGGGGCCTGGCACTGGGAGTGCAGACCCTGGGGGGCAGGGGAGCCAGCCACACTGCCCTGCATGGGCAGGGGGCGTCCCAAGCCCAGGGCGCTCAGGAGAGGTGACCTGGGAGTGGGCCTGGGGCCTGCGGAGCACAGCCTTGCCCTGGCCACCCGCGGGCCGTCCCTCCCGGGCCATCGCCCGGGTCATGCAGAGAGCTTCTGGGGAGTGAGGCCGTGGCCCTGGTTCCAGCCTGCCTGTGCCCACCTTCCCTGCCTGGGCGACAGCCTTGTCAGGGGGCCAGGCCCTCCCGGGACGGGGCCCAGGGCTTCCCCTCCTTGTGGCCAGGGCTCTGGTCTGGCCTGGGAAGCCGAAGAGAGAGGCAGCGAGGGCTTGGCAGGGACCCGCCAGGGAGCCCGCTCAGCACCTGCCCCAGAGCCCGCCCCTCCCTCGCAGGCCGTGCTCCCGAGCACCCCCACCCCCGGCGTCCAGCCCGGGCGGCCCGCGGCAGTGGTGGTGGAGAGTGGGCCTGTGTCGTACCACCCCGAGGAGGACGCCGAGGAGGAGGACCCGGACGAGGAGGACGGGGAGCCCTGTGTCAGCGCCCTGCAGATGCTGGGTGGCAGCGGTGAGGGCCCGCAGGGCCAGTGGGGCTGGCGTGGGCAGGGGCATCCGGAGGAAGGGCACTGGCCATCATCCCGGCAGCCCTATGCTGAGGCCTGTGGGCTGTACCCTCGGCCTGTGTCACCTGGAAGGAAATCTGAGTGAAGATACCGTGTGGGTTGGAGGCCCTCGGGGTGCTAGGGGGAGCTGGGCAGGCCCTCCCCACTGGGGAGACCATGGGTGCTGGGCGGGGGGGGTTGGTCTGGCCCACACAAGTAGAGTGTCTGCCCACAGGCAGGCCGTCAGCCCCCAGCACCTGCAGGGGCCAGGTGGCCGTCCCCGACGGGGGGCACCTGGGCACTCTGACAGCACAGCCCTCCTCAGCGGCCACGACTGTCCTTTCTGGTCTGCAGATTACGGCTGTGACGGCGACGATGATGACGGCTACTAAGGTGTGACCCCGCAGTGGGCAGTGTCCTGGTGGCGGACCCCACTGGTGTCTGAGAGGCCAGGCCGGGCCTTGGGCCCCCAGGGGTGAGCGCGGAGACTCCTGTGACGAGAGGTGCTGCCCTGCCTGCTCCACAGCCTCCGCCTCGCGGCCTCGTGTGGGACACGGGGCACAGCACTCTTCTGGACGGTGTGAGGCGCGTCTCTGTCCGGAACAGGGGACTGGACGGCTGCCCGCGTGTGACTGATCAGACATAGGTCTCGTGGCCCAAGAGCCCTCTACAGGCGTGACTGTGGGGTCTCCTGTACAGAAACTGAAGCTCAGAGAGGCCAGCCCCTGTCCAAGTGAGTGGGGCCTGGGGGGCTCCAGGACCCTGCTGTCTGCCCCTCGTGGGGCCGGGTGCCCTGCTCCTGCCACCCGCTGTCACGGAGAAGCACTGTGTCCACTCGTCCCTCTGCCGATCAGGGCTGGTCCTGGACCTCCAGCTGCGGTGCTCAGCCAGACCCTGGCCCCCCCCGCCCTTTCTGTTCTGGGACCAGGCGGAGGGAGCTACATCCCACCCATGAGCCCAGAGGGCCTGAGCCAGGACCGCAGTGGCTGCCCATGTCTGCGCTGGCACCTGGCCCAGCACCCCAGAGGGAAGGCAGGCAGGGCTATGAGCTGGGCCATCCTGCTCCAGAGGGTTCCTGCTGCCCAGTGCCGCCTGGGGGGCCAGGCCTCAGCGTGGGGAGGCCCAGAGACCACTGCCCGGGTCTTGGCTGGGTTGCTGCTGCTCTGGACATGTCTCCGAGGGCCAGGCCTTGGCCCTCTCCTGCTGCCTCAGGAGAGGGTGGCCTTGGTGACAGGCCACCCACACTGCTTCGCCGGGCCCGCGCCCGGTTCCCTGGGGTGGGCTGGGCCTCCTCCCAGAGTCTCGGAGTCTGAGGTCAAGACGTGGGGGCCGTGTGTCTGTGGCCCTCTGGGGCCGGCCGGCACCCTGGGCCACCTGGGAGGTGGATGGGGGCTGGGTTGCGAGCACAGGAGGACGTCACTTGAGCAGAAACCCACTGAGGCTGTGGTCGGTGACTCTGTGCGTGGCTTCGTGGCCTGCCCTAGAGAGACGCAGCCCCAGGGAGGCCGGAGGGGCAGATGGGCCTGGAAGACCCCTTGTGGGAAGGGGGCTCTGTGGTGGGCAGCGTGGCTGGGCGCGTGTGGCTGAAGCAGGAGTCCGGCCCCGAAGAGGAGGGGCTGGTGGGGAAGAGCTGTGCCCCGAGAGGGGAGCGAGGAGCATCTGGCTCGGGGTCCTCGAGCAGCGGGGCCAGTGCCATGCAGACACACGGGCTGCCGCAGTGGGGGAGGCCAGTGGCCAGACAGTGCCAGTGGGCCGTGGACGGTTCCCGTGTGCAGGTCACCACTGCCCACCTGTTGGCCCGAGGGGGACTCGTGTGCCTTCCCCCCTCCACGCTGGCATCGCCCTCCCCAGCAGTCGCGTGTCTGGGCGCCCCGCAGCTGAGCCCCTCCGGCTGCTGACCCAGAAGCGGCCGGGGCTGACTCCTCACTGGAGCGGCTGTGGCTGTTGCTGCAAGCCTCTCCTGCAGGGGCCGGCCCTGGGGCCTCCCCGTCCGTCCTGCGCTGAGCCTCTCTGCTCAGATGTCTCGGGTTGAGGGCAGCGCAGGTGCTGGGGGGCATTCCCAGGCTCCTCCCTGCTCAGCTGAGGCCGAAGAGGCCGGGGGCTTGAGTGACAGCTCAGGGTCCCCCAGCTGGGCCCACACACCTGGCGGCCCCACAGCGGGTTCCGGAGGAGCCAGGCCGACAAGCACACCGCAGAGACGACGGCCACCCCACACGCCCAGGGGCACCCAAGGGCCTCTGACAGCAAAGCCCGCCGACACCTCGGTCCCTGGAGCCCCGCCCGCCTGCCATCACGGGTCCCGGGCCACACCACCCCTCCGTCCAGGCCACCCTCTGCCCCCTGTGTGCCCTGGAGGCTGAGGCACTGGCACAGCATCCTGCTCCTCCTCCAGGTGCCCCCTCGGCCCTGACCCAGGGGCTGCTTTATGGGGAGGGGCCTGGTTCAGGACAGGCTGCCTGAGCCCAGCAGGGGGCGGCCGTTCTGTGTGCTGCTGCTGCTGCAGCACACGGGCCCCGGGATCACAGTGGGACGAACTCAGGGACTCGGACGGTGGTTGTGGACGGGCTACCCAGGGATCCGCTCCCGAGACTCCCCTGTAGCACCTGGACCGTGTCGCCTGCGTTGTGGGAGAGCTGGTGGACAGCTCTTGGCTGCCCCCTGGGGGCTGCCTCCGCCCAGGCTGGTCCTCGCCAGTCTTCCTGTCTCTAGGCCCCAACTGGGGTGGGTCGCCTGCCCCCAGAACTCCCCATTGTCTGAACAATAAAAAGCACAAACTGCAGAACCATGGGCACATGTGAGGCCTTGGGCTGGGTGTGGGGGCTCTATTCTCATCGAGGCCCCGAGCACGCAGTCCTGTCTGCCGGGCTACGCTGCTCCACCCTGGCTGCTCTGCCACAGGGCCGCACCCCACGTGGGCCCCCAGCCTGCCGTTCTTGCCCTCAGCGCCCCCACCTCCTGCCCTCCCTGGGTCTCAGGACCCCCTGGCCTGGCAAGGACTGGCCCAGGTCCTGGGCAGCGGGGGCCAGCTGTGCCTACTGGGGCCCAGCCACTCCAAGGCTCCTCAGTCTTGCACGCGCACCCTGATCCCTTGGGGGACACCAACAGGGTCCAGCTGGTTCCCATGGGGTGGGCCCCTGAGCCCAGCTTCCATGCTGTCGGGGGCAGGGATGTGCCTGCATGTGGCCAGCAGCGTCTGACTGGTCAGGGCCTATCTGGTGCCTACGTGCCTGGAGGGCTGGCCAGTCCCTAGGGAGGCCTGGGCCCCTGCCAGGCTGGCAAGGGGCGGGGGCTGAGGCCTCAGGTTCTGACTGCCCACCCAGGTCCTTCAAAGGGCAGAGTACAGGCTCTTTATGGCTTTCCTGCTGGGAGAGGGACCTGGCTCAGGAAGCCATTGTCCCCACACAATGGGCCCTTGGGGACCTGTGAGGGCAGGGGCCCTAGACTGGTGGGATCTGGCCCTGAACCTGACCCTGTCAGTGACCCTGACACCGTCTGCGGCACCCTCACGGCCACCCCAGCCAACTGGCCCAGCCAGTAGTGGACACTACTCCAGAGTGAGAGCAGGGTGCCAGGGAGGGGCTGGGACAGGGGTGCCCTGAAGTTTGGCAGGCCTGTGGGCAGGTGCGGTGACCGCCACCGGGCTGGCCAGGGCCAGTGCCAGTGCCAGACCACAAGGGGACTTTCCTCCGTGGTGCTGAGGGGCCCCTTCCCTGGCCGGACTGAGCAATCAGGCCCCACTTGAGGTCTGTGAACCAGAGCATTGTCTGCAGGGCGCCCGCCGGGGTGGGGCCTGGGAAAAGGGCCGCCTGGCAGGTCGCAGGGCAGCTTCCATGGCCTTGTCGCCCCAGCACCCAGGTGGAGCTGAGCCCGGAGCTGGAGGGCTACCCCTGGGGTCCGCAAAGGCCAGGCCTGGGCGGGGCCCCAGTGCCGGGCAGGGCCCCGGTGCCGGGCAGGGCCCCGGTGCCGGGCAGGGCCTGGGCGGTGGGCCCTGTGGCTGTGCTAGGGGACGCGGGCAGTGGCTGCTCAGCAGCTGTGGCGGCGTGCACAGGCTGGCAGGCCCTACCTGGCCCTGGGCAGGGCTGCTTCCCACAGCGCTGCGGACCACCGTCGTTGGCCCTGGGTCTCCGAACGTTGGGGAGGGCATGGTGGTCCCATGGTCCGGACACGGGGCCCTCAGGACTGCCCGTGCACATGCCAAGTACTCCTTAGCCCGGCAGGCTACTCAAGTGCAGGAGGCACTGGGCCCAGCCAGCAGGCGGCGCTGCAGGACGCCCAGGTGGACCAAGGGGGTGAAGAGCCTCCTGCAAAGGGTGTGGGGGCGGGGGGGGTCAGTGCTGTGAGGTGCCCCCTCCAGGGAGGGGCAGTTCCTTGGGAAGGAGCCCCCCAGACAGCTGGTTCCTTGGCTGTTTGCACCTGCTCCAGGGCAGACCCCTGGCGTGGGGGCCAGGGGTCTGCTTGTTCAGACTGAGGGGGACCTTCGGGACTTCAGTCCCCAGCCCGACCTCAGTTCCGTCCTCCCCCGGGTGTCTCGGGTACACTGGGCCATGGGCGGGGGTGGGGTGGGTTCTGTCGGGGCGGCAGGCTGGGCTCCCACTAAGGGTCCCATGAAGCTCGGAGACTGGTTCAAGGGAATGGGGACACCCTCTGGGGGCCCCAGGGTGTGAGGGGTAGGCCAGAAGACTTCCTGGAGGAGGGGGGTCCACACTGGGTCCCAAAGGAGCTGGTCAGGACGCCCTGGGGTCCAGAAGAGGCCAGTGGGCCGCTGACCTGGGGCCTGGTGACGGCATTCAAGGCAGGAGGTGAGGGCCTCAGCGTGGAGGGGCAGGGTCCCCGGAGGTGGGGTTTCAGCCCCGTGTGGAGGTCCAGCCGAGCCTGTGGGTGGGGAGCAAGCCCGAGGCAGAGGTGGAAGAGTGTGCTCAGCTCTGGTGGGCCCTGCCCTGGCCTCGTGCTGCCTGCTGCAGGCCCTTGGCGTTGGGGGCTGAACAAGTGGGTGGGGGAGCCTCAGCCCTGCTGCCTGGGGGTGGGGAAGGTGCTGGCACATGGGGAATGGAGAGGGGGCAGGGCCGGGGACCCCACCAGGGCTCTTGGGACAGAGCAGCCAGCCGGGGGCAGGCGGGCAGGTGATGGTCAGGGTGGCCCCACGGCGTGCTCGGTGAGTGCTGCGGACCTGGAGTTAGAGTCAGAGGCCTCTGGCCTCCCACCCCCTGCAGCCCGAAAGCAGGGCTTGGTGCTGGGCAGGGGCCTGGTGGGCCGGTGTCTGTCCATGCAGGCCCTAGTGTCCACAGCCATGCCTGGCTGTGCCCAAGGAGGGGACACTGTGAGACAACGAAGTGGGCTGGGGAGCCCCAGGCGGCCGCTGGCAGGAAGGGCGGCTGACGCGTTGAGGCAGAGTGGAGGGGTGCGTGCCCATCCGAGGTTTAGGTTGTGCCCCCTGCCCAGGCCTCAGACGGGTCACAGTTCCCCAGGTGGCGGGGCGCTCACAGCTCATCTTGGGAGGGGCAGGCCACCAGCGGGGGCCACCCGGCTCCTTGGGGGGCATTTCCCCGAGCCTCTGAGCAGCAGTTTGGACAGCCCTGCTGAGGCACCCCAACCGACAAGGACAGGCCTCCGGCGCCCTAGCACTTGGCCGTGGCCTAGACCACTGCCCGCTGGCCCACCAGAGCCCCACTGCTGGTGACGCTGTGCTCACCGCTGGCCTACGTGGCTCTTGTGTTGCTAGCACCCTCCACACAGCCCGTCACCCCACCCCCCACCTCTGGGATGTGGGCACGGTCACCTCCTATGCCTCCAGTGGCCACTTCTCCCCAGCCACTGCCCCCATCACGGCAGAGCAGAACGGGCAGGACAGGTCTGAGAGCAGCAGGTGTCAGCTCAAGGTCCCCTCCTGGTGGGGGCTGGGACCGGGGCACACCCCCCAGCCACGACTGTCCGCCTGGGCTCCTGGGTTCTGTCTTGCAGACAGTGGCTTCTCCCGGACTCCAGCCTGGGTTGGGGGTTCTCCCTCCTGCGGGGTTTCCCTCTCCGCCCTCTTCCCTTGAGGAGTGCAGTACAGGCGTCCCCTCCTCCAGGAAGCTTTCCACGCCCACTGACGCTCCACGGCAGGGTCCAGGCTCTCACCTGGGAGTGTCTCTGCCCTGACCTTGCCCACCTGCATCATCTCTGTCCTGGCTGGGGAGGGCTCCCACCAAGCCAGGGGCTTGTCGAGGGCAGGGCCTGCTGGTGGTTGGGCACAGGGCCGGAAATGCTGGCAGAACTCTCGGCTGGACAGACAGGAATAGGACACTGCCGTGGGCCTGAGTGCCTGGGCCTCCTCACCCTGCCCAGGAAGAGAGCCTGCCTCAGTTTCCCCAGACCGACAGGTCTTGCCCCTCTCAGCCCCCCTGCCCCTGTGGCTTTCTGACCGAGGGGTGGCCGGATGCTGGGCTTCTTCGAGAAGATGCTGGAGCCCCACCCCCAACACGCCCACACTTGCCACTTGCCCTGGTTAGGATGGGTATCTGCCTGCAAAACCTCCAAATTAGGGGTGCACACGAGGGCACCCCTGGGCTCTGAGCCAGCGCAGAGACCGCTGCCCTCAGCTTTGCGGCTCAGGTGTAGGCAGCTCCCCACTGCTCCCTTGCAGCTGGCTTTCGGGCCCAGGTGCACCTTTGTGCTGGGGGCCCGGGAGCCGTGGCCCCCAAGGCAGAGTCCCGGGGGGAATCGGACCCTGAGTGGCCTCCCAGAAGGCTTACTGGGACCCTGCCCCCCACCCTCTTCCGCCCTCGTGGGCGTGAGGACCCTGGGAGGGGCCCCGCCCCCCACCCCCGGGCACGGCGAGCCTTTCGCGAGGGACCCGCAGGAGGGCCCTCCGGGGCCGCCGATTTTCTCGAACGAGGTGAAGGAGGCGCAGCGAGGTGCCGGCGTGTGCCAGCTGCAGGACTTCCGACGATCTTTCGGGAGACGGCGGACCACACACCCTCTCCAACGCCGGCCTCGTCCGCGGCGCGAGGGCCGGGCGGACAGCCGGGGACAGACACCCGCGCCGCGTGCGCGCCCGACCGGCCCGAGGGCGGAGCCACGCGGGACCCGGCTTCCGAGCGAGGCGGGCGGGGGCGGAGCCGCTCCCAGGGAGCTGCCGGATTGGTCCCCGTTAGCCGCCGGCTTGCGGGACCGGGCAGCGCCGGCCTCGCGCTCCGGCCGCGGGTCCCGGGCTTGGGGAGCCCGCGGAGGCCGAGCTTCGCGGAGCTGGGTCTTATCAGCGCGGGCAGCTGGCGGCCTATCGGTGCGCGAGCGCCCCGGCCCAATTCAATGGCCATTGTCCGCCGGCCTCTTTGTTCAGGAGGCGGCCACTTCCTGCGGGGCCGGGCTGGGACAGGCGGGCGGAAACGCTCCGAGCCGCGGCCTGGACGCCGAGGCCTCCCCGGCCTGGGGTCAGAGGCGATGGCCACCTCCCCCGCCCCCACAGGCGTCCTAGGCTGGGAGCCGGGCAGGGAGCGAAGCTGGGTCAGCCCAGCCCCCTCCTCTGGTCCGGGGTCACTGTGCGGGCTGCAGAGTGGGTGGACGGGCGTGTCCCCTCCTGTGGCGACCTTAGCGGAGACCCTGTAGGGGCTGCGCCTCCCAGTCTGCCTTCTACCCCAACCCCTGGCAGGGGCTGGTGGGCTCCACGAGGGTGATATCAGCATCACGCAGTACTCGAGCTCCAGGGGAGGGACACCCAGCTCCCAACGTTTCCCTGCTGCACAAGGAGGAGCCCGCCCCGGACTCCAGGCTGGGGTGCTGGGCTGCAGCGTGGCAGGGTTG